GTCTCTTGTCACATTTCTTGCTCAGAGGACCCGTCTGCGGAAAGCACGGCGTACGAGTGAAAGCAGCTTGTGCCGGCTTTCTATCTTTTCAATACTGTTAGATATTGTTAGTATAGCCGCTATAAGTGGCATTTTCCAGGCATGGAGGGCCTCTGCTCACTGCCAGAATCGACAAACATTCGACTTGGCTATACTGCTCACTGCCTCTGCATGTCCGATTCTGGACAGCGATGTTGTCACATCGCTGGTCCATCGTCATCGTTCCTGTTGCTCTGCTGCTGGTGCATACTGTAGGAACCCAGCATGTTCTAGCATGTCTTGCAGTGCCGAGTTCTGGCAGTGTTGTCGGCATGCGATTGCATTACTACATAAATTCGATGCTCTTCGGCGTACTTCACGCTTAGCACTCCTCGAGCTAAAGTTGAAACCGCGGAAGCTGGGTTCGAAGGCGACAAGCCAGGACCTCTGTTTCACACTCAGAGAATGGCATTACATGGCACAATGTAGTATCCATGTCGATGAATAGAGGTTATTTGGAATCATCACAGCGAGCTGCTCCTGATCTCTTGTGTTTCTCGGGTTGGTATTCAGTATGCGCTCGTGATGCAAACATGGCGTGGCGCAATGTCTCCAGCTTTCGACAGCGGGCCCGCAATGCGGAGCAGATTACACAACAGTCGCAAGCTTGGACTTCGCTTGCCGGGATTCGATTTGCTGATTGTGCATCCATAAAATCTGGCCTAAGTATTCAGAATACTCGTACTGGAGCAGGACGTAGTACATAAAGTTCATCGGTTCCAGTGTGTGTGTCCTGCACGTTTCTGAAGAGCAGGGAAGCTTCGAGGAAACACCACACTAGAAAAAGGCACAATTCTGCACCGAGGCTGAAGACAGAGATTTCCCAAAAGCTCGTGAAGCGAACCTATGACCAGATGAGCGCCTTTGACGACCATGTGCGTGCAGTGAAGGACCAGCCTCGAAAAAATGTTCGCGCCCTCTGAGCCTTTACATATGCCCAGACAGGAGAAGGCCGCACGTGAGGAGGCAGAGGAGGAGGCTGAGCTTATCCGGCTTAGCGAAGGCTGGGCTCGCGCACGGGCCGTGCAGTTCGAACGCTGCTCGGCTTGCCGCCCTAGTGCCGAAAAAGTAGCAGGCAGCGGTGCATGCGTGTTTTCTCTGTTCGGGATGCAGACATGGACATAGATGGGCACTGTTGGATGCGGTTGACGGACCTGCCATGAATCCGAGGCCTTATTCAAGCAGACACCGCGAGCGAGGTTAGCAGCACGAAAAGTGCAACTGGGAGCATGGCGAGATATCGCAGCGATTCTGTGCTACCGGCGCATGTTCGCCTCGACAACTCTGAGATACTCCATGCTCAGCGCCCCCCATCTCCTCTGCATGTCCACGACTACGGGGACATCTCAGTCCGGCCTCGCTCATACCAGCAGCAGGTACGGAATAGACACGGTGGGCCGGCCCGCCCAGCCTATCGGCAGGAGTTTTGTGGCGTCTACTTTCCAGGCCCCGACTGCAAGCAGGGTCCATATGGTACGAGCATGATCGAGCCCTGCCTCATGCCGCCGAGATGCTGGGTGACTATGCTTATGACATGTATGACATGTTTTGAGAAGGACGGGAACAGGCTTTTGCCCGCATGTCGCGGATTCGCTTCTATTCGGCTATTTTTTGGGCAGTAGCCGGCAGTCCCCAAACACTCGCACCGACAGTGCTGCAGACAAGCACACGACAAGTGACATAGGCCATTTGCAAACGTTGTCATGGCATGAAGTTCCTTCGTGGCTGTTTCATTGCACCTAAGTCATGAATCCGGGCATTCGAGGGAACCTCGAACACCCCCCTAACTCACCCCGAGAACATGACCCTAACTTTTACCTTCGGAAGTTCTGGCGACAGCCCAACAGAGAACGAACGCTTCCACTCAGCTGCTGAGGTAAAGGGCTCGGAGCCGCCGCACCGGCATCCCAGAGATGCGGCGGATTTGCGACCCAGGCCTCCTTCGGGTTTCTGTGGGTTGGACTTCTACCTATTCGGTTGAATACAGGAATGGGGGTTTCCGAAAATTAGGGGATCCCAATATAGCACCTTAAGATAGTAGGATCCTTATTATAAGGACACCAAATAAGGCACCCCCCCAATTTTCGGAAACTCCCGAATGATGGCTTTTTTCCCTTTGAGACCGCACTTTGTGGGAGGACAGCAGAGGGCCGGGATCGACCAGCCCGAAAGGGAAAGGCCGACACAGTGATCCAGCAGCACAGGCCAGAACTTCTCAGAGAGAGGAGCTTTGAGGTTTAGGGCCTGGGGGTCCCAGAGTTAGAGGATCAGTCTTTCAGCCTTCTGCTCCGACTCCCCCCGCAACAAATTGGGGGGGCAGTTGGGCTCGGAGCCACCGAAAGCAAGACATATGCAAATTCCACTCTCCTGGAGGGTGCGTACTTGCGCAGTGGGCCAGCTCCTCTAGACCGGCAGAAAACCCTTCGAAGGCCCTTGCAAATAAGCTTGTATGCATGTAAGGGAGGAAGAAGGCAAGCAAGCACACTAAACCTGACAAGACCATGCAAGAAGAGCCTGCAAGCTGGACTTATCATGGTTCGGTCCACGCGCAGGCAGCAGACCAAATCCAGGGTGCCCACAAACAATGCGCACCGCAGCTGCACCCAGCACCGAGCACATTGCGTCCGAAAGCGAGACCAGGCAAGATGGGAGTTCTTTGCTGCAGGTTTCGGGTTGGACTACGTTGCTCACTCCTGGCAGGAAAGATTCATCGAGGCAGTGCGCTTTGAGCAAGGCCCAGCAGTCTATTTCTCGAGAGCCTTTCCAGAAGTGCAACATCTGACGTGACGAAGGTCACTTCGAAGGTCGCTTCGCTGACCCGCTCATCAAAAACTCTGGATATCCGAACGAAGAGATGTTCCACGAAACTCATGCGATTGGAGTAGCCCCCCGGCTCAACTTTCAACAGCACAGAGACCTACGGCGAGATGCATAGAGAGAGGCCTCCCGGAGCGTGCATGAACGGAGGAGGATTCTGCACCAGATGGCTCCCCACAGCTGGCTTGGGGGCTGGAGGCTTGTGCTATCGAGCCATGGAGCCATGCGTCTCCCCCGTCTGTATGCTTTTTGAGAGGCCGGCGAGAGTTACGAGGCCATGGCGACCCACATCTTCCTGGGCCTCCACCAGGCCTGGAGCGAAGAAGCGCCGCCGCAAACAGCGCCGCAAACACCGGCTCTGCTTAGGCGATGCGCGAGCACCATGCCCGACTGCCTCACCTTTTTAAGCCGGTGAACCGCGGTGTGCCAGGTGGGCCGTGTTGAAGAGCAGCAGTCGGTAGTGACCCGGTAGTGGTGTTTCCTGACGTGGCTTGGGTGAAGGCTGGAGATGGAGATAGAAAGGACCGTGATGTCCCGACAGGTGTTCTCGAGCCCGCCGAGTTTCTGGAGGGCCTGCATCTCGGCAGCAGCCAGGTTGGCCGCAAAAGGGGTTACAAGGCATGCCGGAGCTCCTTCCACCACAGTCCACGACGAGTGTTTCAGGCATGTAGAGGCCAGGCAGGCTAGCGGCTTGGGACCGTGGCAAGATTTGAGGCAGCGACTCCGCATCGTGGAGAAGGGGCAGGTGTCGATTCAGCCGCTTGTTGGCTGACCGTGATGCGTAAGTTGGGAAAGGGTGAGGATGTGCCATCTTCACATGCTTGGCAGCAATAACCCGCAAGGAGTTCCTCGGTGGTCGTAGTTTCATTTGTGGGACGTCGGACATCAGAAAACTCTGAGGCAGCTTCTGGAAGTGATGTACGAGCTGGATCCGGATTTCGATGGGCGGATCATTTTGTCCCATGTCCGGAAATGCATAGCCGCCACGAGAGCATTGGCGAATGCCAGCCAACCTGGCGCCTCAGAGAACGATCTTACGAACCTGCTGCCAACGGACGCCTACTGCCAAAAAGTTCCTGTCCAGAGGGTTGTGGTAGAGCGTCAGCCAAAGTCTATTTGGGATTTCGAGCGCTCCTACGAAAAGTTTCGCAATCAGCAGCATGAGCTCCTGATCATACACAACGAACGAGATTCGAAAGTTTCACCTGACATGTCATAAAGCAAGCTCGCATCCTACGGCCATCGAAACATTCGATGGTAGTGAGCATGCTGCGGTCATTTTCAATGGAGAGGCGCTAGAGAAGCAGCACGAGAGTCCGAGACTTGACCTTAGCCCATGTCTCGCCCCTATCTTTGCACGCCCCATTTTCTTGCGGCAAGCTTGCCCCTCAGTCAAGTTTTCATGTACGTACATCTCCACCAATAGCTGAGAACGCATGCAAGAGAGCCCAATAGCTTTCGGCCAGCATCTGGAGTAAAACAGATCAGACGGCTCCGCTGCAAGAGGAAGAATTTGTTTTGCTCGAGTTGGGGCAGGTTCAAACCTCTAGTGCCTTGTTTGGCCAAGGTTGGAACGTCTCACACCACAGCATGAAGAATCTGGATATGTGCAGTATGAAAAGGGCGATATGTTGCAGCAAACGTTGAACACTTCGCGACTGCAGCTGGCTGCAAGTGTCCGAGTTCCAGCCTTCCCCAAAGCCTGAATTGCAGCAAAACGCAGCCGCATGAGAACGCCTACACGGGTAGTCGGTATGTAGCTCTGTGTTCTGTCAAAAATCGTAAAGAAGTACATTCGCGAGCAGCTGTCTGTGTTTCAGTCTAGTGCACGACGTTTCGTTGCAACGTAGTGGTGGTGGCAGCAGAGGTAGTGGTAGTCTTAGTCGCAATCGTAGTGGTCGACGTTAGTCGCCGTCGTCGTGGTGGCAGGAGGGGGAGCAACGGAAGCAGCAAAAGCAGTAGCAGGAATTTGAGGGAGACGGCGAGGAAAAGCATCAGAAGCAGGTCGAAACCAGCTGGCCGGTGGGTCGAGCCCAGCAGGTAGTGTATTACGCACTGAATTCACAAAATCATGGCATTGCTCCAGAGCCATCCAAGTTCTGCAGGTGACATCTGCGGGGCTCGTCATGGTGCCAGGCTTACACTCAGCGAGCAGACAGAAGCACGCGGCACCAGAACCAGCATCGCTTGAGGTTGGCTCTGGAGGGAACACGACAGACTTCGAGAGCATCTTGATTCGGGTCAGGCACAGGTTTCAGATGTGTTACTCTTAGTTGCGGACATCCTGCCAAAGCCGGAGTGGTGCATCCTGATAGCTTCCCAACACCGTGAGGCTCCAGCTCCAGGGTGGCGGAGGGTACGACCTAGCAGAGATGGGTCATGATTCGTCCTCAGTCAGATGTGAGACGCGGCATTCTCACCGAGTGCCATGTATGAAGCAAGGCAGCATACACATACACTGCAAGTAGCAGCGGAAACACCCATGCATCCAAAAGTAACGATGAAAGACTACAAGATGTCGGACAAGCTGCTAAACGACACGGTCACAGCTGATGAAGCAATGAAGCATAAGGCATGGCCGAGCGGTCTTAGTAGCTGATCCAGTTTTTATTTCTAGATGTCCGCCAAGACTTTTTGCCAGCACTTGGGGCTATGGTGTTGACTGCCACAGCACCACAGCTGAGCCTCTGAGCCGTTTTACCCTCCGGCCCAAGAGGTCTACGTGGGATCGCTCCCCGAGCAGAGCGTGCAATGGCTGATTTGCTCGAGCCCAAGCCCTGCATTGGCAACATGTTGCAACAGTTGTCACAGGTTACCGAAAATGATTTCAGTTTCACCTGTCACTCTGACGGCCTGTGCCAAGGTCACCAGTGAGTTTGATCACTTGCAATCGCTGCTCAGCACGGTGGGATGGAAAATAGTTGTAGCGCCAGGGTCAATCCACAGACTGTAGCTGCACGTTGAACTGTTTTGTTCCGTTCTTGAGGGCGACTAGGAGTGTCAGTCATGCGCGTGGCGTGCAGACAACACCTGCGTGCACTCAGTTGCATTTGGCTCGACCGATATGTCTGCTAAACATGCGCTCTCATGTGGAGAACATGCGGCTCTGCACAGCCTTGCCATGTGCTTCCTATGCTGGCCTGCGATTATGAGTGCTTAAGCAGCTCTTCGCTGCCCTACGCTACGCTAGAGTGCACCTGAAGAAGGCCTGCAGAAGCAGTTCCAAGCTCAGGACACCAGCTCGCAACCCAAGGGCCCGCAGCGTTTTAAGTAGCGGATGGCAATGCCCAGCGAACCCAGTGGCCGAGTGTTCTCCTGCAAGGAACCCTTCCTCTAGCTCGTCTGATGTCCTTTGTTCCTCCTTTCCATCCTGGAATTTGCCTTGAGGAGCTCTCGTGCTTCGACGGAGAGCTTTGCAGTGAGATCTATATCAGCTTCTCGGGCCAGGTGGCTGTGATTACGGCAGCGCTACCTGTTACTTGTATTTGTGCTGCGCAGGTTTACGATGTCAGCAGCAGTAGAAGTTTGTATGGCAAGCCGATGACTCGGCTCTGAGCGATCTTCGACACGTCCACGAAGTTGCGGAATGTTGGTCGCGAGCAGAAGCCTTGATTCGTCGGGCGCGTAACCCAGGTCGCCTCCGGGCCCATACCACCAACTCGCTGGGCGTGAGTGTGCTTGGACTCAGCATGTGCGAGCCGGGCCAGCTGCAAATATTGAACCTGAACTGTTGTAAGTTCTAACTACCTTAAGCAGCCCCCTTGAATCCAGGCGCAAGGGCACTCTCCACGATGTCGTTGGATCCTTCGGATGTTGGCCGTGACGACCTAGACGACATCTCGGCTTTGGTGGAAAAGCTGCAGACACTGGCCTTAAGATGAAGCTTGCGCTGCAGTCGTCCCACTTTGCTTTCAATCACGTTCAGAGTGCCGCAGCTCAGGGAAAAGATGACACCTGCAGAGGCTTCGAACATTGTGCTGCGCTGCTGGCGGAGCTGCTGAACCTGAAGCGCTTGCCGTGAGGTCCGGACAGCTGTCCAAAAGGCCTTCGACGATTGGCAGCGGAAGTTCATGGCGAAGTATCCTCGAATAGGCCGGTCGTGTGGGACAAGCAAAACCGAAGTGGCACTTGAGATGGCTTGGCCTTATGAGCTCCAACTGTGTTTGGTTGTTTGTTGGGCTTTCGATCAGTTTAGAGTGTAGTAGGGCAGCTTTCAGGTGCTCTCCGGCGGGCAGGAGATGATCATCACGACAGCGCCGCTCGCGAAAGCTTGCAAGGAGCTCTTCGATTTTGTGCTTTGACTGAATGCTAGAACATGGCGAGGCACTAAGTAGTCTGAGGCAGTGTCCGCCTTTGGCAGCTGGTGGTAGGGGGCACTCCCGGCAGGGGGTTTCGCGAGTGGGCGGGCATGTGCGGGAAGTAAGAACGACTTTTGGATTCTACAATTCTACACATGTTCAGACAAGCAAACTACTTGTTAATTGCTGCACGCTCGACATGTTTGTTTGAAATCGCCCCTTCGACCTCCTTTTTTGGCTGGCATCTCGGTGTTTGCGCAGGTTCGAGTTTCATCTTTACAGGGGCTGCTCTCAATACCGCTACTTGTACTGTTTGCAGTGTTTGGGCGTGTTTGCCAACTCCAAATTGGCAGCATCTGTGCTCTTGGGCTTTATTCATGACCAGGCTTCTTCGCTTCTCCCACCAGCGCCTGGGCAAGGCTTCATGTTCTCATCATCCACACGCATCGTGATTGTCGTCATTATCCTTAAGAATAGCATTGCCAGATTCATGTTATCATCAGACGCTCACCTTCAGTCGCCTCGATATTGATCTCGTCATTACCCTCTAGGAACGTATCATACAAAGTTGGATATCTGGACTCAAAAGTTCGACGCTCCGAAGAGAGGCAACTTTCGCGTCGTGCTTGAGTCGTGAGTTGCCAACGACAGCAAGTGTTGCGAGCGAATCTGCGAGCAATCGCGTGTAGATCCAAAGTTTGTCAACACTTAGCGGCAGAAGGCGTCGTCTCTTAGTTTGACACAAGACAACCGCCAGACCACAAAGAGAATTCACTCACTTCGAAAATGCTGGGAAAGACGGGAGGGATGATAGAAAGCCCCGAGAGCAGTTTTTAAGTAGATGCGTCCGTAAGTTGAGATCAATCGGTTTCCTTGTAAAACGATAAGAGTACAATAAAACGAGAACGAAGATGTGCTACATCCTACAGTCCCAAAGTCATCCAAAGTTCTCCAAAACGATAAGAGTCGGAAAAAAAACGATAACCGAATTAAGGGTCAAGTAAATGGGTGGGGGGTTTTCACGGGGGAAGGGCCCCGGCAGCCAGCACAGAAATCCCGGCCCAGTTGCTGCCAGCCGCGACACGCCATCCTCTCAGCAAGCTTCCATGCACGAGCTGATGCTGCTGCGAGGACACCCTGTACATTCCCATCCCAAGTTTCTCCTTCCCGTGCTGCACTCAGACCATTGTTGTGTTACCGCCTCGAATTCGGCCACTTCGCTTCTGCCTGCAAATTGATGCCAGACAGGAGTCTTCTCCAGTGGAACCTTTTACAGAAGATCGCATGGAGTTGTTATCCCGGAAGCCACGGGCATACCTCCAGTCGAGCCCCCGGCTCCAGCACATTACACTGTGCCGTCTGCTTTTGAAAGCCTGAGGCGCAAATTCTTGAGCCCGCTGGAGTGCCAGACCCTCATCAGCATGCTGCTTGGAAGAAGCTACGAATCGCTGGACTAGCCGCATTTTGTGACCTTGCCAGTTCAGGATTCTGCAACGCTCACACGGAACCAACTTCGAAACAAAGCTGCGGTCTCGTCTGGCAGTGGATGATCCGGTTTGGACGCCGGAACAGATGCCTGGCAGCCTGTGAAGAGAGTAAGCCGTTCACCCAGCTCGCTATTGCCTCCCCTGCTGTAAGACTGCTGCAGAAATCTCCGAACCTAGTCGCGCACACGCGTCGCGCGCCATGTCCGTCTCGCGAGGCGAGAGCTGATCTTGAAGATAGAGACTCGCCTGGCTGAGTGGACGGGCTGCCCTGCTCACCCCGACGAGACTGCCTTGGTTGGGACCTTGACTCCGCCTCAGAAGAACGAGGCCGGCAATGAGACGTAGAGAGTTGCAAAATCTCCGTGGCCCAGTTCCATGCTTGGCCTTTCAATGTGGCTCTAAAGATTCTAGGACCTCCCACGGGAAATGGTAGGGCTGGTAGGGGGCTGGGCCTGCTGCAGCACTCGTTTTGGCGGAGGATGCGAAGTCTGCGGTGAGCAGCCATTTGGGCTTGCACGCTGATGTCTCAGTTGACAGCGGGCAGTTTCGTGGGTCGAAACGCACCATGCTGATATTTCCCTCACGGCGAGGTCGACACCAATGCAGCCCACTGGCGCTACTGTACGGCCACGCGGCTCAACGTCCTGCGGCAGCCAAGAAAACCGGGGAAGCCGCAGGCCATCATCTACCTCTCCAGCCTCAGCGATGGCCTGCGTGGAGGGGAGACAGTGTTCCCTGTGGCCCTCGATCCGCACCGTGAAGGCTTGAAGCAAGTTTAGGCAGCTGCTCATCTACGGAAATACTTCAAGCACACCTCTGCGGGATGAACGCGTGCTCAATCATGTTCGAGTCACGTGTGTAGACTGCACATAGCACTATCCGGTGATCAGGCCCTCCAAGTGAGGCGGAGGAGCGAACTATCGAGGCCCGAGGCTGCATTATATTAGGCCAGGAGGGGAAAGCCACGGTGTAATCTTCGGGAACAGTTCAGGCGGATGTAGCTGAGATCTGAGGTCAAAAAATATATCAGTGACACTTCGGGCATTGTCGGAGACATCAGGAGATTTCTGCGCAAGTCTGTAGGTCTCTTGGTCTTATGTTCGTCCAGGGAGGCGACGTAGCTCGGCCCAGGGGCTTCCTGAGACTGAGAAGGATGTCCGGTTCCGGTCATGGAAAACCCAGACCCCCTGGCGATGAAACAGCCCTTTTTGTGATGTCAGGCTGCCGGTGAACTGCTTGACATGGGCTTCGACCACACGGACAAGGAGCTGTGATTTGTGCTTGTTCGTGCTCGTGTTAATGACGTGGCGACTGGCTGCTGTCGCATCGAAGGTGCTTGATGCTAGTCAGACAGTTGCTGCCGATGCTGTGCCACGGCGAAAATGCAAAGGACTTCAGACATTAATTGAAGGAGGGTTCACATGACTGTATTTGATGTCTATGCATGAAGAAGCAACAGCAGCCAGGGTCGGACGGTGATGGTGCCATGGAGATGGGTGTATTTGAGCATGGCTATCTGATAGCAGTCCGGATCCTGCTGGCGCTTTCCAAGCTTAAAGCCTTTTGCCGCCAGGGAGAAGAACAGACGGGATTCGGGGTATGGCCTCCCGAAGAAGCTAGGGGCTGCTGGGAATTTGGCCTCCTTGGTTTGCTTCGCCGGCTCGGTGGTGTGAGTGAGTAGATCATGTGAAACACTGCGCATGTTCCGGCACTGACTCAAGCTTATGTCGCTTGACATGCCACGGTTGCCGGGCATACCAGTACCCCCAACCCCGAAATCCTCGATTCCAATTCGAGAGGGAAAAGAAATCCCGGAATAGTGTGCGATGCAGCGCAGCTCGTGGCTCTGCATACATACCTGCTGCTGCGAAACACGTTCTTGCATGTCGCGGTCGACACTCTGCTTACCACCAACTGCCCGATATGTGCCTTTGTCGTGTAATGGCTCCAATTCCCGTCTGTCGTCTTACGTTCGTTTAGCTGAAGGAACAGCGTTCCCTCTTGTCGTGCCCCGACGACCACCCTGTCCGGGGTAGACCAGCACTATTTGAAGCGGATGTCAACCCACTATGCTGCAGGATATCGGGATTTTGGCACGGGGAAGACCACCCTTCTCAAGCCCCTTGAAGCCCCTTCTCAGATTGAATTCGAGAAGTCTGAAATCCAGAATTCTCCAAGGGGAAAGGTCGATGTGAGTTCCCGTTGCACCGCTATTTCCCTTGAAGCCGCCAAGTCCAATCCAAGCATCCGAAATTTGTTGCCAGTTTGTTGCCCGTTGCCAGTGCATCTTGGGTGTTTCCAGGCGCTCAGCGCGGCCCTCCCAAGCACCCCGAAGTGCTCATTTTGCCGAACTCAGGGATAGAGGCTTCGAATGGGACGGTGGATGAACGGGTTCCCCCATTTCGGGGTCTATTTTTGGCTTAGGATGTTGACCACTCCTAAGGCCCGTGCCCAGCTGGCGGCACAAGATCTTCTGGCTCGAGCCGACTGTAACGACTCAGGTTTGCAGGCATCTTGGCTGATCAGTCGAGCCCAATCTGATCTGAGGCAGGGAGCACAAGATGACTATGATTCGAAGCTCACAATGTCGAATGGATTGCAGCAAGGGAGTAGTCATACAAGGAGCCTCTTTGTTAAGGGTTTCAGTCTTGTTGAGGATGCCTCTAGGAAAAAGGCCCTGCACATGACGCGGTCGCTGATCTTGTTGTTTGCACTTGGTCTTTCTACAGACCGGCAGCACAAGGGAAAGCGCTGTTGCCTCCGAGGTCACTCCTTCTCAAGGCTCCGTTTGCATCTTCTGGACACGTCAGGCCACAGGGCTCGCAAAGCCTGGAGGGTCTGGAGGTTCACGGAGTTTCATCTTTCATCGAACTTGAGCACCCGTATTTGTTCAAGCGAATCTTTGCGTGTACAGAATTCTGCGGTGGAATCCCTTGGCAGGATGATGGGGAGATCGACCGCTTCTCCTGGCATGGAGGTCAGTGGTAGATTCGGTACAGTGTACAGATAAGATAACTGTGCGTCTGCAGAAGGTCTTGTGAGTGCCACTGTCTCACTGTCCTTGAACAGGTGCTCCGGTGCGTCGAGATCCAAAATCGGCCCAGCGAGTCCTGGCCCACTTTCGGCTGGGCTTTGCCAGATTTCCGTCAGTGATTTATTGAATTGGCTACTCTTGTGTGCTTTCCATCGCGAGATTCGGGAATGCTGTCGCATAGAGCTTAGGGCGGGCCACGGACAAGGCTGATTCTGCGAACCATGTCCTTGTTGTCCAAGGATTTCTGAGACCCGAGATGCTGGGCTGGAAGTGGACATTGCAAAAGTTTAAGGAGGTGCCGATTGACAAGCGTACCTCGACAAAAGCTGCGTGATACTTTGGCC